TTGAAAATTTAGCCAATAACAAACTAAATTACATGTTAGACTGATAGCAGGTGTAGAGTTTATAACATACAAATTCTAAATTTTTGACGGCTGACGATGGTAAGTCGCTACGTTTAATTCGGGACTTTTATAGTCTTAAGTCTTGGAGCTCAAAATGTCTCGTGCTGTGGGACGTACAAACGGCGCACACCACCGCCCCGCCTTACTTCACGGTTGCGGGGCGGAGCTGGTGCCGTTTGTCTCGGCCTCAAGTGGCGAGTGCTTGCCCATCGAATACACGATTGAAAGACTAATTATTTATTGGAATTCTACAGTTTCCAAAACGAAGTATGAAGATATATTAACTTTGAGCTTTGTTTTGGCGACTGCTTCATCGATGGGCGAGTAGGTATTTGTTGTTTAGCAGTGTTGAATATTGGAGCAATTATATAATGTATATCTCCATCATAATATAGGCTAGTGTAAAGATATATAATCAAGAATACAAACAAACGCGAACGGTATTAGTAACTCGCTAGATTATAGATGTTATTTAAACACATATGTTTACGTCAATTATTACTAAAATTAATATTCTTTTTGCTTTAATATAATTACATTGTACATGTCACATGGATTAATGGATTAGTTGAATGAAACGTGTGCTACAAATGTCTACGCCTCACGCAGAACTGCGTACCGCTCAGTACTAATTCATGCTTGAGCGGTACTGCTGTTCACAGTGGCGCGCACTCAATTTAATCACAATAAATAACGAGCGCGCGGTTTTTTGGAATCTCTCCATTATTATATTAATTATATCGCAGTGCTCACGGCCTGTACTGCGTGAACGACAGAAATATCTTTTAAATTATTTTGCTTCTGAAATTTTGGCTCTAGTAATTAAGAAATGTGACATGTAATTGTAAGTTAACAATTAAATAGATCCTGTGCGCGGCGCCTACAGCTGACCTACGAATTTCTGAACAATTTTAAATTGTGGCTGTGTGCGCGGCGTACTGTATATGTGTTTGAAATTGAAATTTGAATTTATTTATGAATATAACATTATGTATTGATTATTTGTGGTAAATAAAAATTTTTCTTTCCTAAAAATTTTTTCTTTCCTAATAATTTATTAATTTTGGTGGTAAGATATTTATATTTTTCTATATAGTGATCTGATACTTTGTAGACATGTGTGATGATGTTATGTCATAATTTTTACTTTACTTCACTTTACTTTTTGTTTAAAGAATCGAAATAACCTTTATCATTAAATGATTATACCTGGAAGTAGAGAAAGGAAGCTTCACGCCGTTAGTTTTCTCAACGTCTGGTGGAATGGGAGGTGAAGCTGAAAGACTAGTAAAGAAGCTGGCTAGTAAGATGGAATACCACACAGGGCAAAGGTATGCAGATGCTGTGGGTTACATAAGGAAGCGCCTTCGTTTCGAAATCCTAAGAACAACAGTGATTCCCCTACGGGCAGACAAAGGTGCGAAAAAGAACTTTGTTGATATTAGATTAGATTAGATTAGATTAAGAATAATGACATATACATCATCACTAGTTATAAACATTCTTTCTGATTTCCTCATTATCAGAACTGTGAACATTTCACAGCCTTCGTCATTCAAAACAAACAAATTCTATATCTAACATAATTGTCATTATTTATTTACATATTAGAATATATATATAGTAGAAATTAAATTAATAAGTTATTTAAAAAGTTTAAAAAGTTAAAAACCCTTAATTAAAAAATAAAATAAAAACAGATTCATGAGATATTTATTCCCTTTCTCTTGGCAACACACGGATTTTTATATAAATATTGAACTTGTTGCTTCTTCTTTTCGATATAATTTACACCCTCTATTTTTGCTAAAACTATATTTGACACTTCCTTACCTGGGGACCTCAGGCTATCATGTTCATTAACATAATAAAGATTTGGCGGAATGACAGGCTGAGCGCGGCCCAGTAAACACTTCCCAAAAGTTGCCTGTGTCTACTAAATTATTAGACTTTTTAAATTCTTCTAGATTAATTTTAAAATCAATAACAGACACTGAATTTCTAACAAAAGATGGCAATTTATTCCAAAAGCTGATAACACGCTCTGAAAAAATTATTAGACAAGGTTTTAATATTTCTATCAATATTGTTAGATTTAGTGCTAACAATTTTATCTCCCGATCTACTTAAATTGAAAATATCTTTTCCATACTCAACCAATCCATTTACAATTTTGTAGGCTTCAATCAAATCTCCTCTAACCCGTCTCTCTGCGAGTGTTGTAATCTGTAAGGCATCCAACCTTTCACTGTAAGGAAGTGTTCCAATATCATCAATAAGGCGTGTGAACCTTCTCTGGACATTTTCCAGTTCAATGATAGTAGCCCAATTCCCATGGCAGGCAGGTGGAGACCACAACTGAGCACAATACTCCAAGTGGGATCTTATTATAGTTTTATAAACATTTCTCATAACATTAATTTCTCTTATAATGAGATTCCTTGTAACCCATGCAATCATACTGTTTGCTTTACTAATACAACTTTTAATATGTTTCGACCATTTCAAATCTGAAGAAGTTAAAACTCCAAGATCTTTCTCTGCTTCAATACATTTAAGTGTAACACCACTAAATACATATTCTTGAAGGGGATTTTTATTAAATGGAACATGCATTATTTTGCATTTGCTAGGATTAAACTTTAACAGCCACACATTTTGCCAGTTTGATATAAATAGTTTAGATTTGAATTTGGAGCCACAAGGCCAAGGGTGATTTTCAAATGTTTCTCCCAATATTTGAGATAGGATATAGATTGATTTTTTGAAGGGTTGTTTTTATATAGGGTCATTGTGACAATTATGTGTATATTGTTTGAATAATTTACATTTTATACCTGGCACTTGCGCTTAGTGCTTGGATTATCTATGATCACCTACTGGGCTACTGCCTCTACACCAACATGAACTCCTGCATACATTTCAACAGTTGAAGTGACTCGACCGTTCAGGAGAAGTGCCACACATGATCACTGCTTTTCTGATAATCCGTTGTAGAACTTTGCTGACACCCACTGGTCATGTTATCCCTGGTTTCTTTGCAAGAGGTATGAATCCAGGTAGCTTCGGTCGATATCGCTGCTATGATGTCCTCTTGTGATTCCAATAAAGTAAAGTAAAGCAAGCATTAGTCGCTGAAATGGCTGATTAGATTAACATCTTTACTTCGGAATGCAACCGGTTATAGTTTCTTCCGATAGGAAAGATTTATAATTTATATCAGCTCAATTTGAGATGGTATTATCTTGAAAATGGTATATTACACAAGGTGAGACTGTGTTCAGTTATGGAATTCATCTGCTGCTTACGGTAGTTAGGGAATCATCCTTGAGTTGGAAATTGTCCAACGCCGGTTCACAGTGGCGTAACGAAGGGTATGAATATAGTTTTTCCAATATTTTTGCATGAAATTTTCGGAATCGATTAATAATTGCATTTCAAGCTTATTGTGGGCAGCAATTTTTAATTAAGGCCTCCAGAAAGATAGGGATATATTAAAGTATATTAAAGTGTATCCCCGGCCCTGGAAAAAACCTTCATTTTAATTACTTCTATGTGGTCAGCCCCCCCCCCCACAAAATGATTATCTGTGGTTTCATCCCGATGTGGCAAAGAAGAAGTTTATTAACCTGAACTAGGTCGTTTGGGTATAATTTAAATTATAAAAATATTTTTATGAATATTTGTGATGATCTCATGTATCATTATGTTTAAATGATTTGATTTGATTTGGACCATGTTATTGTATAATTAATTACAATCATATTTTAGATAGATTCAATAAGTTAAATCAGGTAAGGGTAGAAAATACTCACATGTGCTTATTCTTCAAGAATGTTAATATCCTAGAACTGCCTTCAAAATGCAACAATAAGTTTCTTTTGTCTACTAAAACTTTGCCCTAAAACTTTTCTCTAAAACGTAACCTGCCCTTTAAAGCTTTTCAGTGTTCTAAGACCTAATCAGCCTATCTTGGATTGCTGTTCTTTCCCTCCGCAGATTATTGATTTTGATATTTTATCCGTATATGTTCAATTCTTTGACATGCTTTGCCAGCTGGAGTACACTAGAATTTATTTCAATCGTGGTTTACAATCTTTTTTGCTACTTATGGACATGATAAAGTCCTTGAAGTGCACTGTTGAGGTGTGCTTTTTCCCGACCTTGCCTTTTTACAGACAATCTTTCAATTTTGTAAAGAAATGTACTATATCATGGCCAATAGAACCTTTGCTAGACGGGAAAAAATTCGTCCAGGTGGGCAATGAATAATAACGACACGTCTTTGTTAAAATGTTTCGACAAAATTATATAGATTAAAATAAAATTCCAGGTTCAAAGAAAAAACTAATTATCCTCTCCACTATATATAAGCGAATAAAACGTTTCTTTGCAAATGTGCATGGAATTGAACCTATGATATTCACTATACTTTCTTATGGACCTAATGAAGTCATTGCAGTGCGCTGGGATACTACAAGTTTTATTTTCCATTGAATTATTTTGATTGATGCCCTTCTGTACAATGTAATAGAAGGGCATCGTCAGATTCGTCATTAATGAAGCTTGAATTATTCATGGTCCTAAAAAGTCGGATTCCATTAAAAAAATACAACATTTTTAAGGAAGACCAAAATGACACAAGAAATTCAACTCTTAGCACGTTTTACAGAATCGAAAAATGTTTAACAATTCACTAAAATATAATCCCATTTTTGCCCTTAGAGGCTCAAAAACCACTCTTCTGCCTTCCACTATGTGCAGGTTCTTGTCATCTCGGTCATCTATCTCGGTCATCTATCTCGGTCATCAATCTCATAACACATTTACATCTATAACCCTATATTTGTGAAAAGTTTTTTTTCACAAGTCCACTGATCTAGAAATCTAAGTAACAGTACTAATGGTTACTCTCAAGACCCTCCAAATAATATACAAGTAAAATATTTACCGTTTTCACCTCCTTAAACACAATGACATGATGTGGAAGACAATAATTTAATGAATTAAATCTACGCTTTATTTTAATGCAGCAGATGGTATGTCAACTGCAAAGTCATCACTTGAAGACGAAGAAAAGAAATATTTTGACAAGTGTGTTCATTCATTTAGATTCTACAGAAAACATGCTTTGGAAAACCTTCGCAAAAACATCAAAGACTACCAAGCCCTCCCACCTAGTCACCAATCAATGCTGAAAAGCTTCATGAAGCAACAAACAGATGTTAAGCATTGCATTGAAATGAACTTCATGTTCATCCTTCACATGTTGGATGATGTCCAAGATATGTTCCGACCTGATCAAGAAATGCGCTCCGACAGCTCACCTGAAGCTTCAGATTCTGACAATATAAGGGTATCACGTGAGGCAGGAGAAGGACTATCTCAAGGTGATATGGACAGGGTTTACACTACACTCCGTCAGTTTGTGAGAGACTGGTCGCAAGAGGGGCAGGGAGAGAGGGACAAGTGCTACTCTCCCATTATAAACGCTGTCTGTAACAGATACAAAGACCCAGCAGGGGTAAGTGTTTTAGTTCCTGGGGCAGGATTGGGGCGACTTGCTTTCGAGTTTGTTGCCAGAGGTTACAATTGTGAGGGAAATGAGTTCAGCATTTTTATGTTGATAGGTTCTAACTTTGTACTTAACAAGATAGACTCAGTTTCTTTCGAGATATTTCCTTGGTCAACTTGCACGACTAACAATGTGACTCATGCTGATAGAGTCAGATCAGTCACTGTACCTGACATTGTCACAACACAGATTCCTGAATCTGCTCAATTTGGTATGTGTGCTGGTGACTTCACCGAAGTGTACGCCAAGGATTCAGCAAGGTTTGATGTTGTCGCTGCATCATTCTTCCTGGATACAGCTCATAATATTATCGAATATATCGAACTTATCCACAAAGTACTGAAACCTGGTGGACATATGATATCTCTAGGACCTTTATTGTACCATTACGCTGGAATGCCTGATCAACCAAGCCTTGAAATTCCCTGGGAAGATGTTTTATCAATTATTGAACAAGTTGGATTTGTGATTGAAGAAATTGAAGATGTGGCCGACGTGCCATATATTGAGAACCATATGTCAATGGTCAGTGTTCTGTACAAGTGCAAGTTTTTAGTTGCTAGAAAGCAAGAAAATTAAAGGTTTTTTTTCCAGCCTTTTCTTTTTAATGGTTAGTCGTAGTTTAGGTAATATTTCGTGATGTTTTAACCGGGTTGTTTCTTACAATAATTTCTTTTATGTTTCCATAATTTATTTTCAACCCATTTTATGATATCAAACGCTAAAATTGTGATGTAGAGTTGACTATTTTGTGAGATGAGATTACTCCACGCAGTATTTTATAACCTACCTGAGTGTTAAATTTTATCACTGATGACCATTTACAGGTAAAAATACAATATTATAAGATTGTATAGCTCAATTCACCTTATTTAACCCCACTTTTACGATAGCTCTAGCTCTAGTCCACACACTCAAGATGGCGATGCACGTACCCAAATCGTACTTTCAGAACATGATGAAAGAAGGGACCAAGGTTTGTAAAAATATTAATCTGGAGTTTTCGCAATTTAATTACTTCTCGTCTATCAGTATCAGCGATCACAAATATTTTCTATTCGAAATAAAAGTTCCCCCATTTCAGCATCTCTCTGGAATGCACGAGGCTGTTTTCTCAAATCTTGAGGCCTGTACAGAGCTCTACAAGACAATCAAGACCTGTTACGGACCAAAGGGGCTCAACAAGATGGTTATCAACCATCTGAGCAAGTTGTTTGTTACAAACGATGCAGCAACTATCATAAAGGAACTGGAAGTGCAGCACCCTGCTGCTAAAATGATTGTGCAGGCTTCACAACAGCAGGAAGCAGAATGTGGTGACGGAACCAACTTTGTTATGATCCTTGCTGGTTAGTTCTGAGCTCTTTTTTTCTGGTTTTATTTTAAACAATTGTGATGTTCAATGTTTACTGGGTATAAGTTATAATATGTGCTGATCGTGTCATGTTTTATAAGGGTATTCGTGTTTTTCTATTTTATGGAAGCTATTGGCTTGATAGTTTTGCACCATTAACAGTATTGATATTTTTTGGTTTAAACATTTTTACTGGTAACGGATTTCTACTTGGATTTCGGAGTTTGATTTTAGCACCGCTGATAAATAGATAAACTGAATTTACCATCTTGAACACAGAACAACTTTAATATAATCTATATCCTGTCAGGTTCTCTGTTGGAGAAAGCGATTGATCTGTTGGAATGTGGATTGTCGCCCAGCGAAGTGATCAAAGGCTACGAGATGGCAGCAGAGCAGTGCCTGATTATCCTAGAAACCCTGGTATGCCACACAGTGAAGGATGTAAAGAACAAGGAAGCTGTTATCCCCATTGTCAAAACCGCTGTCGGCAGCAAGCAGGACGGTTATGAAGATTTCCTCGCTGAGCTTATCTCTGATGCTTGTAGTAAGATAATGCCAACACAGAGGACATTCAACGTTGATCACGTGAGATCGTGCAAGATTCTGGGATCTGGAGTGTTATCCTCAACATGTCTGCAAGGCATGATCTTCAAACGCAACGTTGAAAGTGACATCACCTCCGTAAAAGGCGCTAAAATCGCAGTGTACTCCTGTCCGTTTGATATCGGTACCACTGAAACCAAAGGAACAGTCCTGATCAAGACAGCTGAGGAACTGAAGAACTTTAGTGTGGACGAGGAGAAACTGATAGAGAACTCAGTTAAAGCCCTTGCAGATCTGGGGATCACGTGCGTGGTAAGCGGTGGTAAAGTGGGCGATATGATGCTCCACTTCGCTAACAAGTTCGGTATCATGGTCGTCAGACTCATGTCCAAGTGGGACCTGAGGAGATTGTGTAAGAGCATCAACGCTACCGCTCTCCCTAACATGACCCCTCCCACTAACGAAGAGATTGGGTTCTGCAGCATGGTCGCGCTCGAGGAGGTCGGAGATACTGTTGTAGTATCTTTCAGACAAGGTTAGCAGTCATTTCGATACAGCTTCTCGTGAACATGATGCTATTCTCCATATTTTAATGTTTACATAAGTTCTGCTAAATGTTTATCTCATTAAAGTTATTTCTAACAAGGTCTCTTCAGATCGAGAAGAATCAGCCATGTCCACCATCATCATCCGAGGAAGCACAGATAACATCATGGACGATATCGAGCGAGCAATAGATGACGGTGTGAACAGCGTGAAGGTGTTGACACGTGATCAGCGCTGTCTCCCTGGCGCTGGCGCAACTGAGATCGAGCTCGCCAAACAGCTTATGACTTTCGGTGAACAGGTCCGTTCTCATCCTATGGTTTTAGCTCGTTTTTACAAATAACCCCGACTTCAATTTCTTAAATACTATTTTTGACTTTGGCATACTTAAATTTATAACTTTATAATTACCGAGCAATTTTAATTCATAAATTATTATAATCATTATTTCAGACCCCCGGTATGGAGCAGTACGCAATCAAGAAGTTTGCTGAAGCTTTCGAAGTATTCCCCAAAATCCTCGCAGAGAACACAGGACTCAGAGGTAACGAGGTACTTGCTAACATGTACAACGCTCATCAGGACAAGGTGTCTGGCATGAACGCCGGCATCAACCTCGAGGTAAATATCTTCCTTTATTTTAAAATATTAGTCATTTCTCATTTACTAAAATTACACTGCTTTTGACTCTATAGTACATTGCTGTTCTTTAGATACCGTAATTAAGCTCATTCAAAGAGTTTGATAAACAGTAAAGTTAATAATTATCAATGACTTCAGTCCGATCACTGCGAAGTAATGGATGTTGTCGAGAGGAAAGTATTCGACATTTACCTCACAAAGCACTGGGGTATCAAGTTTGCAGTGAACGCAGCTTGCACAGTGTTAGTTGTGGATCAGATAATCATGGCTAAACAAGCCGGCGGACCTAAACCTCGCAAAGGACAGGCAGACCCTGACGACGAATAGAGCGCTGGAGTTGAAGGACGTTTATCTGATTTTGTATTTGTATAATATAATGAGCTCATATTTATTTTTATTTTGTATCTAAGATGATGCCATTCTACTTCACTGAGTATTGTCTCTTATTGCTATTTTAATTAACAAAGGGTGAACCAGATTTAACAATATGTCAGGCTTACAGGACCACAAAGATTTCTAATATTATCCTCAGTATTATCAGTAATGTCTGTCTGAATGTTGTGACATGTTGTTAATTCTGGGCTAACCTGCATCTTGAAATTCCAAACAATTCGTCAGTCTACTGCACTGATCGTTATTCCTACTTGAAATTATTCATGAATATACATATTTATTCTGATTTGCTGTTACCAATGCTAACTTTATCTTATTATAGCTACTCAACAACATGCAAGGCGGACAAATCGCATTTGACGAATATGGTCAACCCTTCATCATCCTCAAGGACCAAAGTACAAAGTCCCGTATGTCCGGACTTGACGCTCAAAAGTCCCACATCATGGCCGCCAGATCAGTTGCTCAGTGTCTGCGCTCCTCTCTTGGACCCAAAGGTCTGGACAAGATTCTAGTGTCATCAGATGGAGACATCACCGTCACCAACGACGGAGCTACAATCCTGGAGAAGATGGATGTGGAACATCAGATCGCTAAACTCATGGTACAGTTGTCTAAATCTCAAGATGATGAGATTGGAGATGGTACTACGGGAGTAGTAGTGTTGGCTGGTGCACTCCTGGAGCAGGCAGAGATCCTACTGGAGCGAGGAATACATCCTATCAGAGTTGCTGACGGTTACGAGAATGCTGCACAGATTGCTATTGAGCACATGAATACCATTACAGACACATTCATAGTAGATAAAGATAACAAGGAGCCACTTGTCAAGACCGCCATGACCACACTCGGATCCAAGATTGTGAACAGATGTGGAAGGAAGTTCGCTGAGATGGCTGTTGATGCTATCCTCTCTGTTGCAGATCTGGAGAGAAAAGACGTGTCATTTGACTTGATTAAGATCGAATGTAAGACTGGCGGTAAGTTGGAGGATTCTCAGTTGGTTAAAGGAGTCATTATTGACAAGACCATGAGTCACAGCCAGATGCCAAAGGAGTTGAACGATGTCAAGATGGCTATCCTAACCTGTGCCTTCGAGCCCCCAAAGCCCAAAACCAAGCACAACCTGAACGTAGGCTCAGTAGAAGATTACAACAAACTTCACGCGTACGAAAAGGAGCAGTTTATTGACATGATTAAGAAGATTAAAGATAGCGGAGCTAACCTTGCTATCTGCCAGTGGGGATTTGATGACGAAGCAAACCATCTGTGTCTACAGAACGAGCTACCCGCAGTACGTTGGGTGGGAGGTCCTGAGATAGAACTCATTGCTATTGCAACCGGCGGACGTATTGTACCAAGATTCAGTGAGCTGACACCTGATAAACTGGGCTATGCTGGAAAAGTAAGAGAGATCGAGTTCGGAACTACCAAAGACAGAATGATGGTGATAGAAGATTGCAAGAACACCCGAGCAGTTACCCTCTTCCTGAGAGGCTCCAACACCATGATAGTCCAGGAAGCTAAGCGCAGTATTTGGGATGCTATGTGTGTAATCAGAAATCTGGTGCGTGATAACCGTATCGTATATGGAGGTGGTTCCAATGAAATCTCCTGTGCTATTGCTGTCAGTGCTGCCGCCGACAAGGTTCCCAGTATTGAGCAGTACGCTATGAGAGCGTTTGCAGATGCTCTGGAATCAGTTCCCATGGCCCTTGCAGAGAACTCAGGATTAGCTCCTTTCGCTACACTCGCTGAAGTAAAATCTCGACAGATCAAAGAAGATAATCCTCGTCTTGGTATCGACTGCATGGACGCCGGAGAGAATGACATGAAGGTGCAGCATGTCATTGAGACTCTGATCGGTAAGAAGCAACAGATAATGTTAGCCACACAGCTTGTAAGAATGATTCTCAAGATCGACGATGTACGGAGTCCTGGAGAGGGAGAATAAGAGCCTGCTTTTTTAACAAGGACTCGTTGAGATTTACTTGCAGTTTGTGTATATATTTATCTCGTTATATTTGATAATATTTTTATATCATTTGCCTATCTTCATTTGTGTCTTTGAATTCGTATACATTGCATGACATCATGAATTCGATCTCAAGCTGCCTTGTAACTAGAAACTTCTGAAGCATAAGAAACGAATGCATGATTGGTCGGCGCGCGCGAACGCCGAGCGACTTTTGCTTGTCGCAACACCTTTGAGCGGTGCTTTTTACCGTTATTACGCGCTTTATGCGCGCGTCTTTTGCTAGAAGTTTCTTATTTCCAAAGCACGAGAATCCATTATTCATCTGTTGTCGAGGTCTGTCCTGACGACAACGGCTGGAAAAGTAAAGTTGTAGATAGTTGAATTGTTCTATAAATCTGACAGAAAATGATTCTAAGCGTGGTTTAACCCTAAATTTTATTCCAGAAATGGCAACCGATTTTCATGAATCATGATCACCATGGCGATGAACAGAAAACTGACAGACTGGGAGGTTGATCTAGGAAAAACAGCAGACAAAACACCGTCTTATTTCGTACCTACGAATACCTTCACCATTATTTTGACGACCTGATTTAACGGAGTTGCTCATCCCCGCCACTTAACATGCGGTTAAACTAGCTCAAGAAAAACAGTCTAACATCTGAAACAGGAATTGTCGGCAGTATCTACATTCAACCTTCTTTTCAACAGCCTAGTAAGTACCCACATTCTAAATGCCGTCGTTTTGTTTAATCTTTGCAGAAGTTAATATAATTTGTTTACATTCCAAATATGTGATACTAAGTAACTTTTCAGTCAGTCCTAGGCTAGAAACACGACTGTGGAAAAGTAAAGAAACCACCAACACGGATCAACACAAACTTCGTTAATCACCTCGAGTTTGAAACGATAAACTGATTTTATACTGTGTAATATATATACTTAAATTAGGAAGAACAGAATCGGCTAAAACGCGAGTTGATAAACTTGGGGTTAAATTCTAAAATGAGAACGCTGTCGTGCCCTCGTGACCAGCGATTTATTATAAGAACTGATTAACCGGAATTTTTCCTTAAGGACACGTTCATTGAAGTTTGAGGATATTGGTAAATATTAGTGACCCTACTGAATGGCACGATGATTTAAAATGTGTCACACTATGAAACTATATAAACCCTCTAACCCTAAGATAATCGTTTCATCCTCTAGATAAACTTTGTCGCATAACGATATCTTTATCAGACGATAAGATATCGCTTAAATGCGGCCGGCAGTGAGTTGTAAACTTTGTCACACTATAAAAACGTGACGGAGTTTATATGGACCCCTTGTTGCCGTGTTTGACCAAATTTTCGAATTTCCAATTCATAGAATAGCTGTATATGGCTATTATCTACATATGTAGCGACTTTTTTCCTTAAATGGTAGCACCATGTAAACTCCGTCACACATTTAAGAAATTTATATGAGGGATGTTTATGACATCCTGACAAGAAATACCGAATAGTCTAGCATTATTTTGTGAGCTGAATGTGTTTGGAATTGTTCACATATTTCATTGTTATACGCAAATACAAATACAGAAGGCAGAAATAGGTAAATTTAGTCACATAAATTTGTATGATATCTCAACATGTGCGAAATTGAGTAAATATTAGTATACCAACTTAAACACCCTATATTACGTACTATGGATCAATTAACAATATTTCAACCATACGCCGGTCATATAAATTATTATATGGCAGTGATATGTTAACATTGGATAAATTTCAACACCTGAACAGGGTAAAAATTTGTAAATTTCGTCACAAAAAAAATATTATAACTTTATTTGCTCCGTGTTTGCAAAATAACTAATTTATCGACATAGTGATGGTGATAAAGTAACATTATATACTAATTGAGGTATGATTCTTCAAAATAGGGGCAAGAAATGTAAATTTCGTCACATCAGCCATTGCATTAGTTAGATAGATTTTCTTTCATATCAACTGCCCTTATTATAGTTGGAATGGATTTATACAGGAAATATAGAAACCCATGCCCATTTTTCATCACATTGAAATTATACTGTTGGGGCAGGAAAAGTAAATTTCGTCACATTTCGGTAAATTAGTGATATCAAACTCAGCATTGTTAAACTTGGGTTCTGATTTGCTGAAAAATAACCTACCAATAATTCCTGGAAGAATATTGAATTCTAATCGGGGTATGGTTCTTCAAAATAGGGTCAAGAAATGTAAATTTCGTCACATACGTCATTGTAAAATTTAGATACATTTTCTTTCACATCAACAGTCCTAATTATAGTTTGAAATGATTAATTCAGAGACAAAGGAAATACAGAAACCCATGCCCATTTTTCATCACATTGAAATTATACTTTTGGGGCAGGAAAAGTGAATTTCGTCACATTTCGGTAACTTCGTATAATTAAACTCAGAATTGTCAAACTTGAGTTCTGATGATCTGCTGAATAATAACCTACTAATAATTCCTGGAAGAATATTGAATTCTAATCGAGGCATGTTTCTTCAAAATAGGGTCAAGAAATGTAAATTTCGTCACATCAGCCATTGCATTAGTTAGATAGATTTTCTTTCATATCAACTGCCCTTTTTATTATTGTGACAATTTTTACATCAACTGCCCTTAACTTGAATCAGCTCTATCCGTGCATCGTCCTTATATACAATTTTCCCGCCTTCCAAACCAAAATCAGATATAAATGATTTCGGCAATTCACCCAAAATTTTAAATTCAATATAATGTGACAGAATTTACATCATTTCCCAATAAGTGCATGTATTTGCTAACTTTTCAAAACAACATATTTTAGGGCTATGATTAGTAGAAAAACTATCAAATAATGAGTTGAAAGGGTTTTGAGGACACCTCACAGTAGAAAAGAGGTATCGTATTCTGAGTGTGACAAAGTTTACGAAATATTGCCTTAAAACCGTTCGATCCCTGCCCTTTAGCCAAATGTTGTATCATAATTGTTAGAATGACCTAATCTACTATATTTTAAACCAAAAAATGCTAATTGGGCTGCTATGGTTAACACAGTCACAAAAATGTGACATTTTTTACATTATAGTGCCTAAAAACCATAAATTGTATTTCTGAGCCGTGTATATGGAAGTATGGGTCACGTGGCTAATGTACAGAACTTCTGAACACGCAATTTTTTTTGGTTTACCAATATCCTTAAACTTCAACATGAACGTGTCCATTTACGATTTCGTATCATTTTGTGACGATGTTTACATCAACTGCCGGGCTATACTTCAATTAACTGTATCCGTGTTACGTCCTCATATATAGAGTTTTCCCGCCTTCCAAACCAAAATCAGATATAAATGATTTCGGAAATTCACCCAGAATTTCAAATTCCATATAATGTGACAGAATTTACATCATTTCCCAATAGCCAAGTGCATGTATTTCAAGTTAACTTTTCAAAACAACATATTTTAGGGCTATGATTGGCAGAAGAACTATCAAATAATGAGTTGAAAGGGTTTTATGGACACCTCACAGTAGAAAAGAGGTCTCGTATTCTGAGTGTGACAAAGTTTACAAAATGTTGCCTTAAAGCCGTTCGATCACTGCCCTTTAGGCCTACATTGTATCATAATTGTTAGATTGACCTAATCTACTATATTTTAGACCAAAAAATGCTAATTGGGCAGCTATGGTAAACAATGTCACAAAAATGTGACATTTTTTACATAATAGTGCCTAAAAGCAATACATTTTATTTTTGAGCAGTGCATATGGGAGTATGGGTCACGTGGCTAATGTTCAGAACTTATGAACACGCTAGATTAATATATGTTAAAATTAAACCACTATCGTCAAAAACGCTGTTTTAGAAATTTACCAATTTCCTCAAACTTCAATGAACGTGTCCTTAACTGGTTTTTCAGGCAGAGCATAAAACTAGCAATAAAACTGTAACATTGCTTGAAGATTTTTGACTATAAATTTCCACGTCATCGAGTTTTACTAGGATATATTTGGGCTATTATACATTTATCCGATTTACAGTTAATTTTGTATCCAACACTATTTTCACCCTCCGATCCAGCAGTGACGAAATGGCTATGACATGAAAACTAGAGATGTTATCCCTCAGAATTCTCTTTCAGAGCTCAGCTATACGCCCAACATGCCTCCACTCTGTCACTAGAACCACTTTCAGATCGCCAATCGTCACTCTCCAATCAGCATGTCTTTCTGCAGCATCAACCCGTCCACACATAACGAACTTTAATAAATCTGATGTGTTTCAAAGGCATCTTGTTTTGAGTAGACACTATTCTAATCCCTCACCGCCCGCACCTCCTAAGAAAAGAGGTCGATTGATCGTTAAGCTTCTGAAAGAGTATGGGCCGGTATTTTTCGTGTTCCACACGTGCACCTCCATTGTGACGTTCGCCATGTTTTATCTACTTGTCTCCAGGTTTGTCTCTCTAGAAGCTTCCCAATAATATCCATTTTGTTTTTATTAAATCAATTTTCTACTACTGTTTTCTCAAACTTCCGTTTGTTATCAAATTCTAGGAGATAACATAATTTTTCTACTTCAGAGATTTCGACGTGTCAGCGATGCTGTCATTCGCGGAGAACTACATAAACGTGGACAACATCCTAGCTAAAGCAGGGTACGACAAGTCTGACATCCTCTCTCCCACGTCCTCTAATGCCACCAGTGGTATAATAGCAGTGCTGCTCTACAAGCTCACCTCACCCCTCCGACTAGTACTGGACTCCATCATGGTCCCTGTGGTGGTTAGGAATCTCCGGTACATGGGTGTTATGCAACCTGAAACCGCGGTGGATGAGGTGACTCTAGCTAGGATTGAGCAGAGGATAGAACGATTTGATAAGAAGTACGATGAGATCGACCTGGAGCCCGCAGTGAAGGCTATAAGAAGAGGCGTGGCTAAGAGGAACGAGCGTAGGAGCCGGCAGATGGTCAAATATACTGAAACTCAGAGAAAATTTGATAAGAAAAAAACTGAAACCCAGAGGAAGATCGATAAGGTTTTTAAGAAGAAGAGGAAATACTCTACTACTGTAACTAATACTGCTGCGGAAAATAAGAAGGATAAATGAGGTGTATACATTTAAAATTTGCTAGGTTAAATTATATGGACACCTGACTGATTAGATTATTAGAACGAATCAAACGAAGACATTTCCTTCAAAATAAAGTTTAACTTCATTCATGTTTGAGATTCGTGTGGCACAAACATTTGAATATAAGATACGTTTATGAAGAATTTTTTAGATAATTTATGAATTATGATGATCTGTGTTTTGAATTATGTTACCTGTTTTGAATTAGCCCACTTTAATTCCAGTCTGATATGGTAAATCTAAAGGATTGCTCTGCTGATGATACTCTTTACAGAGACTCAGTCTTGCCCGTGCAAGAAAGCTTGCACAGCTTCAAGGGTTTGGATATCTTAGATCTTGTGAGGGGCAAGGGTATAGTCTGCCAATTCAAACTTTTCTGCATACTCAGCATGAATTGAATTTTATTGATAAGATTAACTATTAATTTGTATTATATTGGTTCTGAGACTTCGAAATTTGCAAAGTTGGTATATTTTGTACGTATTATAACTGTTGAAATTGTTCAGATTTTTTGATCTTCCCTTTTTGCCAAAATGTATTCTGACTTTTGCTATCATAATTCATACAGTGTTTTATACTACCCTCTGTAAACCACTTTACACAGCTACTGCGTAGAAATAACAAGTGTATAACAGCTCCCTCTAATATACTTGTACAGTGTACAGTGTAAACTGTACAGTGTACAGTTTACAGTTTACAGTGTACAGTTTACAGTTTACACTGTACAGTGTACAGTGTACAGTTTACACTGTACACTGCACAGTGTACAGTTTACAGTGTGCAGTGTACAGTGCAGTGTACAGTGTGCAGTGTACAGTGCACAGTGTACCCCCCAGTGTACAGTTTACAGTGCACAGTGTACAGTTTACGGAAAGTAACATATATAGTGTATAGTATAGGGAATCTCTGAATGCATTATTACCATCTGTGATCTGTCCCTTAGCTTCAACTCATTCTTTTCTGGATCCACTCCTTTGTTGAGGAAGAAGGTGTAGCCAGCAGCCCCCATCTTCTCGACCTGTTCGTCAGTAGCGTTCACCAGCTGTATACATATCTCACAATCTAAGAACTGTAGACCCTAGGTTGCTCTATTAAATATACCTTATTTGAACGGACATTAGTTGAACGCTGGAGGTCCTAGCGTTCATCTTAAAGTTAATGTCCGTTCAAATTTTAAAGTCCGTCCAAGTTAAATTCCGCTGAATTTTTTCCAAAATATTCCACTGCGAACTCGTGTCTTATCTAGGATATTATAACTTTTTAATATCAGTCAATTTTAATGTCTGTCATTAGAATAGACTATATCATTGGATCAATGAAAAACAAGTTATTTAATCAAATTTAAATATTCTTAGTATCGCAATATGTCTAGTTTGTTACCTAAATCGATTTCAGAACTTTCCCCTCCTAACACACCCAAACAAGGAACGACACACGAACAAAACTTAGACTGGTTATCAATTTACTCACAGACTGACCTGAGATCTAGCATCTTTTATAAAGGCCCAATGCTCGCTATTTCAGAGCATAACACTCGCATTACATGCCCATCCAGTATATTTTCTATCAACATATATAAGAATTTATTTTTAATTGTAGTTGACGAAATGAGAGTCTCCACTCAGTGTGTTAAAACATAATTCTTTGTCGACGTTTCGGCTACATGCCTTTGTCATAAACAGGACGTACTGAAAACTTACATAGCTGCAAAGATACAATGTTAAAATAATCTATTAATACTACGAAATATAACAACAAAAATAACATCTTGAAACCCAACAAAGATCACAAATTTTTCCAAAAGAAACATAAAATATAACGGCTAAAAGAATCCACACCGCAACAAGCCGTGAACAATTCCTCATAGTACTACAAACATTTTACCAAGATAGCTCCTTCATAAAACTGAGTAATCAAAAATTATCTAGGTTAATAAGTTCAATATTACATTAACTTCCAAGTATATTTTATCCAATCACCTTCATTTACGGACTCAGACAATTGAGTATTTATTTCTGTGTTCTGGGTTTTCACGTTTTATTAGAACCGACTGCCACAATTGACGGTCTACATTACATAGTCTTTACATCTTTTTCGAACTATAAACCGAAACGGTATGTTTGGCATTGAAATGTAGGCATGCTCCTCTAGGTAGTGCTTCCCCATCACCCATGGCCGTAGATTTGTTGCCATCCCTTACTGATTTGTAGTGTTCCCAGGCTCTACTTCTTTTAAACCTACCAGTTTCCCCAATGTACCTTAGTTCCCAAAAATTTGTGTGCCATTATATTGAGCACAATTTATTTGAGCCCGAAAAATTTGGGCAGAAAATTTGAACTCATTTGGGCGACCGAAAATTTGAGCACAAATTCTTCGAAAAATGAACGATTTTCCAGTAAAATTTCAGTTAAATATTTGCCTTAGTTCATTATTATTCCTTATTATTCCAGTCATTTTGCTTTCAATTTTAAGCATGTAGGTGGTAGTCTGAGTTGTTTCACATTATGAAATTTACGATCTGCCCAATAACTACTAAAAAATACAGTGAAGATGGCACAGTACAAAATGATAGATATACATTTGCAGATCTTGTTTAAATCTCTAGCTATCCGTACCTCTAGCCATTTGTTTTATTAGTAGCTGTTAGCTATTCCAGTTATTTCTATTCATTTAAAATATAAGCCTTTTTACTTGGTCAAGCCATGAATGACAGATTAGAAAACTAAAATTTCAAATATTATTTCACTTGGATATGAAGAAAAAGCCATCTTTCTATAGATTTCAGGGCCACATAACAGGCCAAATGCCAAAAGTTTGGTTAGCAACAAATTTAGCAGACGGAAAAGATTTATGCAATTAATTTGGTCTGCAAAAAATTTGGGCGAGAGGCCCGCTCAAATTTTTTGTCGCCCAAATTTTTGGGAATTAAGGTAGGACTTATTACATATTTGGCATATTAATTGGTAGCAAATGTTTTTGATCATGCAGGATTTATCGCACTGGTAGCATTTGCTGTCACTTTGTTTATTGCATTTTGTTTGCTGTAGGCTAGATCTTGTTAAAGCTTCCATGAGACGTTGTCCTGATGTGAATGTTACCCTGGTGGAATCCAAGAGGTTTTGATTTCTTAGGGTATAGTAGACTTTTCGACACGTCTGTTCATTTATATAAGGTAATGATAAGTAAGCTATTTTTGAGTTCTTTTTAGGCGCATTTTGTTTATCCAGTGTATTCTGTGTTTCTCGAATAAGTTTCTTGACAATACTTTGACTCGCTCTTTGGGACGTTACTTATAACTGAAAAACTGCAAAAGCAACTACACAACCAATGGTTCCTCATAAACTGCAGAAAAGAAAAGAAAATTCCGTCATTTATTCACCATTTGGTAAACCCTAAAATTCCTAACACTCCATCAAAATTTCTACAAGCACATCTTAAGACCACCCTAGCCTGGAAGAAGGGCATCCTAAACCTAAAGATCAAAGATTCATTTAGAATAACAAAAGACCTAGAAAGAAAACTTGAAGATATGTTGTCATACATTTTAAATTTAAATAGTAAAACGAGAGCTCAGACGAAATTCAAAAAAGATTCCCTAGACTATCTTGAACTATACTCAGGTCAAATAAAAGCAGTTATAGAAAGAGACAAATTAGAAACACTAAAGAAGAAATTAAAGAAACTCACCACCTGGGAACGACCACCTATTAATCAACCTAAGTCCACACCAAGAGTCACAGTAATTGGAACACCCGACCTACCGGATGGCACATTAGAGCTCTTAGATAAAGGTCCAAAATTCGCCCTACCAAACATGCCCACTAGAAAACAGGAGAAAGCTGAGATGCTGAAGGAAGTTGAAGTTGGATTAGAACGCTATGCGTATGGATCTAGGTACTTAAATAATATTACAGAAGTGGATCAGACTAACAAGCCGCTTTTTCTAAGAAAACCAGAAGATTTCAAATTTCAGCCTCAACAAATTAATAACCCAGCCAAAGAACACGTTCTCCATGCAGTGAAAGCCGCAGTTATATTGGATTATGACAAGGCCCTAGGAAAGAAACAACACCACACCACTCTGAAAACTATTGACCAACAACAGAAGATAGTTAAAGAGCTGAGAGCTAGGGACGACATTGTAATCAAAGTAGCTGATAAAGATAAACAGTTCGTGATCTCAGATAAAACTTTCTACATTAAGAAGGCCAGGTAGAGGAAATGCTATCTGATACTCGTACATACAAACAACTGCCCAAAAATCCTCTTCCTCGCATGAACACAGATATAGATGGCTTGATAATTTCACTTACACAAAAATATCCTTGGATCGGAGAACATTGTAATCCATATCTTCCTCGTATACCAGAGTTTTATTGTACATGGAAAACACACAAAGATATTTCACCGCCACCCTTGCGACCTGTCACATCCCAAGTAGATTCACCAGCGGAAAGACTAGGTCATTTTGTTACCAATATACTTAACCAAGCACTAGACTTGGTTCCCGTTAACACTAAGAACACTCCTCAATTTCGGCAAAAATTAGAAGATCATTGGATGGGAAGAATAAACACAAACCACATAATGTTCACGGCTGATGTGAAAAGCCTCTGCACAAATGTCCCACTTGTAGAAGGACACAAAGTTATCATAAAGTTCATAAAAAACAACAGGGATAAAATCGATACAAATGGAATGGACCTCGGGAACTTTGACTTGGTCCTCAAATCAGCAATACAGGCAGGATACTTCAGATTTGATTCAAATTTCTACCAACAACTAAATGGACTCGGCATGGGTGTGAAACCAGCTCCACCATTTGCAATAATCTATGTTTACTGTACAATCGAATTGCCTCTGATGGAGAACGACTATTCCTACATACCAGAAGCTCCCCCCAAACCAGTAGGACTCCTAATCATAGATATGTGGGATAGATATGTAGATGACTGCTTCAGCATAATCGAGGGAGATGAAGACACAGTACTATTGCTGTTTAACTACATTAACTCGTTGAACAGGGATATACAGTTCACATATGAGTGCTCCAAAGATTGTATTGCATTTTTGGACCTGAACATCTTTATGAATACGGTGGACAAGAGGTTAGACTTTTCCTTATTTGTTAAACCAACCAGCCAGGACATATTCCTAAATTATGCCTCTGCTCACCCTCGTACAACGATTCTGAACTCAGCCAAAAATGAGATCAGAAGGGCTATCAGTATCAATAACAGCTCCACACCTGAACTACAAGATCTCAGTATCAATAGAATAGCAGATATGCTAAAGAAGAATAGTTTCCCTCCTAATATTGTCAAGAAACTTATTCGAGAAACACAGAATACACTGGATAAACAAAATGCGCCTAAAAAGAACTCAAAAATAGCTTACTTATCATTACCTTATATAAATGAACAGACGTGTCGAAAAGTCTACTATACCCTAAGAAATCAAAACCTCTTGGATTCCACCAGGGTAACATTCACATCAGGACAACGTCTCATGGAAGCTTTAACAAGATCTA